CGGGGGGGGGGGGGGGGCGCGTCATAAAAGAAAGAATCCGGAGAGGAGATTAGAGGAAAGGATAGACCCAAAAAGAGACCTCGGATGGGGTCATGCGACAAGGATCGACAACTCAGAGACAGAGAAGGCTGTAGAATACAAGCGGAATGAAAGCGTTGTCAAGTTGTGCCGTGTATGCCTCTAGTAAACCACTGACGGTGACCGCCATGAGCAAAGATAGCCAGTGCTGCACAGATACAAACACCAGGATCAGCATCAAGTTTGTGACCTTTGAGACCAGCAAGAAGACTAATAAAGCCAGCCACAAAACCATGGTGATTGATTTTTGTGAGCAATGCATGAGAATGAAATAGTTTTTGACGTGAATAAGGGGGAGAGATCAAACCTGGGACAGAACGTAACCGGTGGATGCCAGTAGAGGCAGGAGTATCGAGCAAGCTGCGAGGACGGATGTTATTCCGGCTGCGGTGCCTTCGATAGTTTTCTCTGAGGAATCAGAAAACAAGTATGTTAGCCATGTGGAGCGACGCGGTTACTTATTAGCCAAAGATTAGACAACGTATAACCAAATCTGAAGCACAAAAAGCATCAGCTTACTCCCAGTCTTGCTCCACCGCAGAACACCATACTTGTGGCCGACGACCGATGCCTGAGAAAGAACCAAGCCAGCATTGTGAGTTTTAAGAAGAAAGGTGAAGGCAACAGAAACTTCAAGCAGGTATGAAGAGACGGGAAAAGAAAATCCAGAGATCCAGAGACCACAGTATCCTGTTTTCTGCTGGCATTCAACATACATCATGTAAGCAACTATTTAACGAAATGAAGTTAATGAATTATCAGAAATGACTGTTACATTAAACATTAAAATCAACAGAAACGAACTCAAATCTCAATAGAGATTTTGAATATGCAAATAATATTAAAAAGAAACTCCATAAGGAAAGTGATATCCAAAATTAACCTCAAATTCATCTTGCTAATCAGCTCAATTAAGCCAAAAGAATTAACTAATCAGTTCCTCTGTCATAGCTGTGCGGAAGTACCTCATCCAAAGTGGAAATGAGTGAGACCTACCATTTCTCATGGCAGATCAAAGGCAACAGAGATGACAGTACAAAAAAATCTGTTTTCAACCTACACTCTTGCTGCAAGGGTTGCTAAAAGACTCGCAAGTATCACTTTATGAAAGCATCGAATCATGCTAAACATAAATACATTAGCATGCATGTAACAGTTTAACGTCCATGAATAACTTCAGGAAAACACTTGGAGTCGTCAGTCCCCTGTTGTCAGTTAAGATATGCATTAACTTCCATCAAAGATGATGTAAACATGCCAGTAACATATGCATACTCTTGGACTAACAGTGCCTTTTCTGGTTCTCAAAGTCTTTGTTTCCTAATGACAAGTGTAAGCAAGCTGCTTATATGATTCACTTGCATTAAAAACATAACATATTTCAACTTTCAAATTCAATCTTAACTCACCAATTTTCCATAATATTTTATGTTTCTGAGACTGTTTACAAAGCAAGGAATGCCACTGTGACCATTAGAACAATCACATTGGTTTCCACTCCCTCCTCGTGTCAACATCAAACTCATGGGCATAGACAACATTAAGAAAAGGGCTGATAAGTGAAAATAAGTCCTTTACCATAGTGTCACCAATTCCTAAGCTTAAAATTCCAGCGAACGGAGCAAGTGGTCGATCATTCAGCCCAGATGACATCCATTTTGGGAGGGCACATCCAAGGAGGAGCGAGAAGTGACTAGAAACAAATAAAACCCAAAATGTAAGGAACACAATTTGCTTTCAACGAAAAGGCCACAACCTAATTTTTTGTGTGAAAAACTGAACCTGACAATGAGAATCTCTGAGTCACGATGATCAGTAAAAGCATTCATGAACTGATGTACAATGTCGCCCAGGGGCCAAATTTTCCAGACCTGCCACACGATTAATATATGCTGAGAAATACCAAAAACTAATAGGCAAGTTAAATTCACAAATCATTTCGCCTTCAGTTGTTAAGCTCAGACAGAAAAAGAAGTTGACCATGAATGAGAGTTTTACTGCTTTACACAATTGAACTCTTAGGGCAGCACCTATCATGTCATCTTACCACCAAATACTAAATATAATTAGAAGTCATCGGTCAAAATACTCCTTGGTGATGCAATGATGAAAACATCTTCCTTTTTCAGAAAAAAAGGTCACGATCACAATTCTAATGCAACAGTTGCACATACAAAGGAATGATAATAATATATGATACATTCAGAGAAGACTAGTGTATTTTTTTTCCGTACCCTAAGATTCTTACTGAAACCAGGGTTCAGAAAGCGTCATTGTCAAGTAAAATTGAGAAGAATCATCATAGTCAGAGAATTATTTGCAACTAAGCTGGTAAAATGGTATTTCTTATACAAATTTTTCACAAGGTTCAATTTCATGGAAAGTCATGTGATGACACAAAACTGGATTTGCATCAACCATCAGGAAGCTTACTAACGAGTTTACCATGCACAAGAAAAAGAACAAAGTTCTACTAAACCAGAGGAGTTCACATTTTCATGTATATTATTAAACTACAAATTTCATTACTTAAGTGAGCAGCAAGTCTCTAGTTTGATGTGATACTCAAAACTAAAATCTCTTCAAACACAAGAAATATATCAAAGATAGCAAACTTACCCGAATCATTTCCAGAATTAGGAAAACTGCGAAAGCTGCACCAAATGCAAGGTCCAAAAAAGTTGGCTGCAATATGTTATGCACTTTATGAGAAACGTTATCGTAGAAGTTACATCAAATAAATGTAGTCTTTATATGCATATACCTGAAAGAGAAGAGCAGGCAAAAACATTAGAACTGCCACAAGATGGTAGTACTTCCTAAGAAGAATCCTTTCAATCTTGCTGTGCTTTGATATATTGTAGAACCGCAAAACAGAAGCACATATAACACATATCCAGTACAAACATAATGCCAAGCGCTTGAGTGGGTCAGTGAACACAAATGTCAACACCCTGCCAGAAATCACATAAACGTCCATCACATCTAACAAAATAAGCATATTTCTCTTCTTGTCATACCTAAACCAGACTGTGAAGCACTTTTCCATTCGTTATGCTTTAAAATTGAATCTACACAAGTTATAAATTGAAACAATATGTGAACAATGATCAAAAAGAGCCCAAAAGAACCTTGAACATGAATGATTAACATAATGATGTCTAGCTTAATTTGGTCCCACGGGACGAAAAAATTTTCATATATGCATATATATGGCTACATTTATATTGTTCCTCTATCTATAGTTTTATATTCCTCCTATTAAGTTGCTTCTACTTGAAAATGGATCCATCCATGCTTCAACCTTCAAGTGAAATGAGTGTAAGACAAGGGGTAAGCCAGTCATTAAAGTAGTATTTCTCTTACATTTATAGCACCAGTTATGACAGGATTGACCAACCTATCCTTGATTTCAATTCCTTCCACCTCTAAAGGAGCAAGGTTGGGTCAGTCTTTTTATAGTGGGAGCAACATACAAATTGCCCACTAGGAGCATTGTAACCGCTCTTATATATGAATACAGTTATATATATATATATATATCTGCTTAATCTTATTTGATTGAAATCCAACAGGGAAAATGAGAATAAAACGAAGAAGATTCAGTCAGCTATTTAACTAGGAAACATATTTTAATCATGCTTACCATTTGATAGGATGCACATAAAAATCCTGAACAACACACATCCATATTGGAATCAAGATTGTCAACATGACTGAGAGAGAAGCATAAAATATAATCGAACTTTCAACTGCACTGTGTGGTCCTCCATTAGCTATTGAAGCTTCAGGCTTCCTCAATTTTTTTAGGTGAAACCAACCTCGAAGAACAATTTTGTAAAATGCAGGCAAAAGGAACAGGCCAAGCATCACTCCCTGCAAGTAAAGACATTGCCTTATGAAGAATTTTGCAACTCGTCCATATGTTTCAAAGAACCTTACCTGAATAACTGTTGCAATTTCAGAATGGGTTCCATATCCAACAAATTTTAGTGTCCTCAATGTTACGAACATAAAAGTCTGTCAAAATGATCAATCAAATTAAAATTAGTTTCCCAAACATGATTTCCTGAATGTCTTTCAAGTGTGAAATGATTGATGGACAATTTAGAAGCAAAGCCTTGACCTTGGTGAGGGTATGTGCCAACATATCACTAAAGTAGAGTACCAGACCACTAGACACCAAAAGTGCTTCTCCTGAAATTATACCAATCATTATGAGAGAGCCACCGAGTACTATCAATCATATTTATCAAATAAACATGAGATAGTAAATAACATAAAAAATATTGTAGATGAGAAACATATTTTTATGTTAAACATGCGATAAACATGAGTTTAGGGCTCATCAACTTTAAATAGCTTCCAGCAGGAAAGAAGATAAGAAAACAAATGAGACAAAATGAAAGAAATGGGGAAGAGTAAATATATGGGACAAGAAGACAGAATAGGCTGGTTGCTAAAGAAACCAATCTCATGTTAGTTTTTATAGCGATTGCACAAATAAAATTGTCAAGACAGAGTACAACCAGCCACAGTCCTTTTCTTTAAAATCTTGATACGTACCAAAAAGGAGATCAATCCTAACTAAGATATATATACTTGTCCAAAATTCAGCAAATTATTCGTAATTAGGTAGAATTTGAGCTCTCCTCGAACTTTAACCTAATAAACCATTTCATTAACTAAAATGTCCCAAATATGTTGAATCCGGACTCTTTTGTAACAATTGTAAAATATGACAAAGAATTCATAATATTCATAAATTTCAAAGTGCAAGAAAGTTTCTACATAGCTTGGCTACTCTTGATGACTGGAAATATTATCATATGCTCCAAAAATGCTTTGGAGAAGTGTGAGGACGCAAGCCATAAGGCTGGTCCCAGTTAGTCAAATAATAGTGTTTACGCAGGTCCATTTTAACTTTACTAGTTCAAAATCATGTCAGCTAAAAATCACAATAACTGAAAAACACTTACAATGCAACCATCATCATTCATGTATATGTATAAAGAGGTAGTATGAGTGGGATACCAACCTAATGAAGCACATGATGGAAATGTCAGAAGAATGTGCTGGATGAGAACCACAGTGGCAAGTGCATGACAGATTAACCACAATAATTTTATCAAAATAAGCGACCCTGTAAAAGAGTAAAAGAACATATAACCCTCAGCCATTTTGTATCAGATGAAATCGCTTCCTAAAATTGGACTGCTTTTCTAATAAGACATCAGGTATAGATTAGGGAATATCACAGGGGAACAAACATAAGGATTTATGGAACTAACCACTGTCTGATTTTGTTGTGAGAGACAGAGAGCAAACAGCTACATACAATACAGTCTGAAGTAATCCATACTTTAAGGCTTCAGAACTTCTAAGCTGAAAGGAACCAGTATTCTTGGCAGAACAATAGAGTGCTAAACAGAAGAAAATTAGCACGCCAAAACAGCTCGCGGACGCAATCCAGTACTGCATATTTAAACCTTCAACCTCTGTCCATAGAAGGAGGAAACTAAGAAAAAAATAAATATTTCGAGCAGGAAACTAAATGATGAAAATTAAACAAATCAAGAATGATCAATAGCCAAAAATATTTTTGTTTTCTAATAAAATGTATAGTAGTTCATATTATGGCCACAGGCGTGAAAGCATATAAACAATCCAGGAAAACAGAGAATCACCAAGGTAAAAGTAAGACTACATTAAGTAAGAGACAAATCACTTACCTTGCCTGAAAACAATGCTAGAATATGTTTTAAAAAAAAGAAATAATTTCAGGGCAGCCAAGTGCATAAAGAACTGCCAATATAGTGTGTTGAGTTTGTCTTATAAAAGACCAAACCTTAAAGAGGAAACAAAACCTGAAAAGGAACCATGCAAAGGCTTCATTCATTTGATTTTTTCCAAGAGCTCCATAAATCAATATGACAAAACTTTAAGGGTCCTATAGGCTTGAGTGAATTATAACATTTATAGGAAACCAAAGTGTCAATAAGGATACCTAAAGATCCTGCCACCGTTTTCTTCTTATTCTACCGTTTATATCACCAAATACCCCATGTTGTAATCACCTTGGGTTTAAAACTTATTGTATCAAAATTTTAATTATTCCAGTTATGTGTCTTCTTATGACAAAAGACTTCTTGCATTACCCGTATTGTCAAGTGTGATTCTACAGTTATGTAGTATGGCTGTTAGCAAGCGAATTGTCCAACAATGAATTTTTTTTTTTAAGGAAGAACCGAGATAGATATGACTGTCTCAGTCTCAGATTTAGTTGAGACCTTACCCCTACATATTTAATAGAGGCCTTATTTAGTAATTGAAACAACTCCAGAAAACAGAAGCTTATGTTTCAGCAGTGAAAATCCATGTTACAAAAACCACAAGAAATCTTATTACCTTGTTACAAAATTAAACTTTCCACTGCCACAATATATCGAATAAAGTAACCAACTTTAAGTATATTTCTTGTTTTATAATATATAAGTGGATCACATAATGATTCCAACATGTGGCCTTAAAATAAACTATAACATCACCATTAGACCTACATTTTATTTAGAATGCGTATTTTGTAGTACCATACAAAGGCCGCTGCAACCCTAAGCCATAATGACAATAATTTTATCTAACACTTGAAGATCTATGGAAATTTAAAAATTAGAGATAAAAGCTCAATTTTAATATGATAATGTAGGATATTGATCCCGTGAATCACCATATCAAAGATGAGAAACTCTACCTTCAGAAGTGACATCATTCTCTGGTAGCACCCTTGAGAGTTGTATTAATCGTGAAAGCATGGCAGCAGGCAATGTCACTGTACCCAGTAGTATCCCAGAAGATGCGCCAGGCCTAAAAAAATTAGGGATCCAAATCAAATGATCCTAAAGCAAGGTTTACTATAGCTGCACCGTGGACTGTATACAGCTGCCACAAAACAAAACAACTGATATCATTCAAGCCATTTAGCATAATCATTTTATTTTACATGTTAGGTCATGCTCATGCTTATATAACTAACTGTGATGTGATCGTCCGTTTCAAGTTCGAACACGTTCATGAATCAGACGTCCGAACATGTGACTAACACCTAATCTATCCTGGTTTATCGGAATTTAGTACAAACTGTTCTTGCATGCTGAGATCGAAATGCTGACTGTGACCTAAATATCCAAATAACCGATTAGAACCAATAAAAATTTTAGGAATGAGATCACAACTTAAAAGAACTTGAGAAAAGAAATATACACGTATCGAATTTTCTGGATTATATCGCACCATCTAGAACTCGATGAAATGACCAATAATCAAGACAAACCCTAATCGTTGGCCGTCCAAGGGAAAGGATGGACCACGTCAAACATTGCATAATTTCGTGTGAATTCTGGGAAGAACATTCACGATTTAAAATGGCAGGGAAAGAGGGCGGACCTGGTTTTGAATCGGTGGGAGGCGGTGGAGCCCTCGGCAGAGATCTCGACGAGGAGGCCGCCAGCGACGAGGAGGAAAAGCGCGAGGGCCTCGTAGAGCAGAGAATGGGGGACGGAGAAGAGGACGCGCGAGACGAAGAGGAGGACCACGGCCCTCTCTCCATTGAACAGCTCGGCCGCCCCTGCGGCCATGGCGGGTGGCGGAAACAACAGAGGGAGAAGGGAAGAGGGAAAAATTGCAGGCAATTAACGAGAAGGGAGACCAAGAAGTTTGTTAAGGGGCACTGCGTGATACGGCAAAATTTACGAAATGAGTTACGAAACGATGAAGGGGTGCTCAGAGCGCGACGACTGGGCTGCTGACGAGTCTCCCAACCGCTTATGTCGTTGCTCAAATCGTGACATGCAGGAATGTGTGTTGATTACACGCGGGACGGTGAGGCCACCTGCCACGGTGGGCGAGTTAAGTCGCCGCCCGCGTCGGCTAGCTTTCGGATCGCGTCAACTGGTGTTGGCGTGGACGGAAACGGATGTACCTAACAGGACTTGCGTCGCCACGACGCTGCATTACCGTCACGTAGTAAAAACAAGCGGCGTATTCTGGGCATATAATAAAAATCCGTGGGTGAGCTGCACCAGACCGTGGGATCCACGCGAGACGCCGACACCAATCCTTACCCACCGTTTTGTAATCATTATAACAGTATAACGGTTTTTATCATGGTGATATGTCATTATTTATTTTGAATATTTTTATCTAAAATAATCTTCAATATCAGAGTTTTAATAAATGATATCCCCTAAGCGAATCTTATTTTATTAATTTGATAAAAATATTTTTTTGTTTTCATCATTGACTATCCTCATTGCCTCCTACGCCACCGCAAGTGGCACGTCTATCATCTTCATCCTTTTTTTTTTTTTTTTTCGTCTACTCTCTTCTATTACCTATCTTTCCTCGTCCCGATAGAAGACAAACAGATAGAGTAAAATTGATATTTATGTAATATTAATTTTAATACATTTCTCAATAATTATAATAATATGATTATGATATGAGTGAAGGTAATGACAAAGGGTTTAACTATATTTGGAAATGTTCTATCTCGAATGAAATGATACATTATAATAATGAAAAGGTGACGGTGCTCACCCATGCCTCCGTGAGGATGACCTTGTTAAGGGAATGAGACAGGGTTGTCGTTCGATGATGCACAGAAGTTAACTCTGTCACTAATGTTTTTACCACCCACATTCATCTTATCATCTTGGTTCCATTATGATTAGGAAGAATAAGCAACGAGGTAAAAGATGAAAGAAAGAAAGTCGAAAGAAAAAAATGATATGCAATAAAAGAGGAGAGAAAAGAAGAAAAAAAATGGTGCTTCCAAATAAAAAATCAATTATGAGGGCATCGTTTAATAAAAGTATAATATTAATGTTTTTTTGATAAAATATTTATTTATTTTATCTTTACGTTACATACTAACTAACTACCAATGTTTTTTCATAACGTTATATAATTATTATAACGTTTTTATATAACGGTGATATGTTATACTCCACCTACTGCCAAGAGTGTGTTCCTCCCAAGCGTATCGCGACAGAGTCGTAACCCGAATGCAGAAATCGTGGGTCCCAGGCGGTCCCCGCGGCGTCGTCCCAACCAGATGAGCGAGCCACGACGCGCGGGATCATAGGGGGGTGGCGGTAGGATAAGGTTCGCTCCTTTCAGAAACTGCGGGTTGTCACGACAAACCACCTCGCGCAAAGCTCGCAAGTATGACGTGGCAATCTTCTATTGTTCTCCGTCTCGGTACTGCCCAACAAAATATCTCCACATCATCATTCAATCGTCCACGTGGACTTTCTGGAGTACTAAATAGACTAGGGTATCGCGAGCTTTGTAGAACCAAACCTTCGCTTCAATCCGCTTCCTCGGGAGCTTCTTTGAGTGTATCTGAAAACCCTCCTCTTCGATCCACTCCACCTCGCAGAATTCTGATGGCGAATCATGGCGAGGCCTCCTCCTCTTCGGAACCGTAAGATTACTGTTTTCCTATTATTCTTAGGGTTCTCGTGGCGTAAGGGCGTTGAAGTTTGTTGCGGATGATTAGTGTTTTTGGGGTTGGAAATTGGTGCAGAAAGGGGGCTAAAAAAGATTTCAGTACCGCGATTCTGGAGAGGAAGAAGGCGGCGAATCGCTTGATCGTGGACGAGGCGATCAACGATGACAACTCGGTGGTCTCGCTGAACCCGGAGACGATGGAAAAGCTGCAGCTTTTCCGCGGCGACACGGTTCTTCTGAAGGTAACCATGCTGTTGCTCGGATTCTGTCTTTTGCTTGTTCTATTGACCTCTAGGCATGGTCTCTCCTGGGGCTTAGAGATCTGGAATTTTGGAGTGAAGGCGACTCGCTTTCTGTGGAGGAAAGTTAGCAACAATTATGACTTAGTAGTGGACTCTTTGATTAGGAGCCAACTATATCGACTGATGAGTTCCGAACTTCTAGTACACTGGATTTCGTTTTATCTGGTTTATCAAGCAAAGATTTTCGGTGATTATGTCTGTGATTATTAGGAACTTGTCTGATTACTTCAGATCCAATTTATTATAGGTTTTTTTTTCTCTAATTGGCGTTCCATAACTTTTGGTCTCTGTTAATTCTTATTAATGGTAGGAAGACCATAATCACTCAGCAGAGAGACTGATTGTCCTCTCTTTTCACCTTGCTTGTTATTAAAAATCTTTTAATGCATATTTGTGTAGTTGGGAAGCTCAGAATTTTAAATTTATGTTGGTGGGATAATTTCCGTGTCAGACTATCAAAACATTTGAAATATTTCTTGGTCTTGATTTCAGGGGAAGAAACGGAGAGATACTATTTGTATTGCACTCGCTGATGATACCTGCGAAGAACCCAAGATCCGGATGAATAAGGTTGTTAGGTCAAACCTCAGAGTGAGGCTGGGTGATGTGGTGTCTGTGCACCAGTGTCAAGATGTGAAATATGGAAAACGCGTGCATATTCTTCCCGTAGATGATACAATTGAAGGCATCACTGGAAACTTGTTTGATGTATATTTGAAGTGTAAGTTATATTATTGTATCATAAACATCTCTGGTTTAGCTAGATCTGTTGGAATTTTTTATTAATTCTAGTTTACACCAGAAGTTTGTTTTAATTTGATTTCAATCATAATTTAGTTTTATGAGATTCTGTTTGTGGATAATGTCCCATTATCAATGTTGTTGACATGATCCTTTCTTCTTATTTCATATAGAAAGTTTGGGCATTTGGCATGATAAAGCATACTTAGATCATTCCCTTTCAAAAATTACATTCAGTGATGTTTTTGGCTCACGAAAATCCTTCTGGTCATTCCCTTTTCTCTCTGATTAGAATCAAGAGCAAGGTTTAAAATTTTGACTGTGTATACACCAATATCTCTTGGTTTGATGATTGACCGGTGTGCAAATTGGGCAATATTGCTGTCTTGATCCGAATTAGAGCTTGTTGCTTTGTAAGCTCACCTTACTGGCTTATCCGATAGTAGGTTAACCATTATGAAGCATATCAGATTTTTTTAATAAAGTTGTTTATAAATATATTTGCAGCTGCTATAGCTGTTTTCTTTCCTGTGTTTTTTGTGTTTCCTTCTCTTTCCCCTTCATTTCCTGTGCCACCCACCTGCTCGTCTCCTCCTCCTCTTGTTGTTGTTATCTTCTACCGCTACCATCTCCTCGACCCTCTCCCCCAATATGGTATGCCCAACTGTATTGGTACCATAACAGTCATATGTCAGTAGAACAGAGGTTAGAATCCTTGATCCAGAGGATGTATCCTTTGTACTATCATCACCATGAGTGGTTATTTATAATGTCATTGGTTTTAAAACTTTTACACTATGGAAATTATATTTGCATTACAATAGTTTCTGAGATACTAGTTATTTTGATATGAATTCTGTTCAGCATGCTTGTGGGAGAAAGTCTTTAAGGTCAATTAAACTAGGTATATATTAATGTGCCTTTCACATGTATTTTGGTGTCTCTGAAGGATTATTTGAATCTAACTGCATATTTGAATTGGTATGTATTTGAAGGAATTCAAGTATTCAAATAGATTGCTCATATTCTGTCTGGAATCATGCCAAAAAGAGTGCAAGTTTTCACAAAGCTTATTTGTTAATTAATTGCTTTATCAAGGAGTGGATCGAGGAAAACTGTTAAGAATCACCTCTAGTTTAAGATAATTAAATGTTCAACAACTTTGTCTTACATTTGACATGAAGCTTTCAGAATGATTGAGGTTTGATCATTGGTAATGTTAAGTATATATCTTCCATTTCTAACTCTTGTAGTTGTCAGGTTCAAACTCGAATTTTAGAACTATTCTTTCTACATAATGCATAAGCTCTAAAGCACAGATACAGCTAGGAAGATGCGGTTGTAGTAGGTATTTTATCTTTCTTTACCCCCTTCCATGTCCTCCTTTTAAAAATTTTTTGGCCATTGCTTTTTCTGTTTCTTATTGTTTACAATTCCTGGTAACTAGGTTGCACATATAGAGAAATGATATGAAGTAAAATGCCTCTTTCCATGTATTTTACCAGTTACTTTTGGACTCTTCTTACTTCCCTAAAGATCTTGTTTACCACTCGATCATAGTTTGAATTCTTACTGCCTGTATATGCTCGAAAAACTGCATGATTTTCTCAGGTAATCATTGGGTAGTATCTTTTTTTGGTAACCGCTGGAATGTCTAGAGATACTAATGTAAAAGTTTTTTTTCTATGCCCTTACATATGTTATTTTTCGTTTGGACCAGTAACTAGTATTTGTTATATATCTTAGATTTATTCATGCTTTAAATTTGTATACGTAGTAGAACACTGTGTCAGTTTTCCTGTCCTTATTTTTTGGCAATTTGGTGAACATTGTTTCTAATTTCAAAATGGTTCTGAACATTTCATTTTTCAGTTTTGGAAGCCGATGTTTGCTTGTCATGTATGTTGTCGTATGTAATCGGATCTTGTTTTCTGACGTGTTTACAGCCTACTTTCTGGAGGCATATCGCCCTGTTAGGAAGGGAGACCTCTTTCTAGTTAGGGGTGGCATGCGCAGTGTCGAGTTTAAGGTCATTGAAACTGACCCACCAGAATACTGTGTGGTTGCCCCTGATACTGAGATTTTTTGTGAAGGAGAGCCTATTAAAAGAGAGGATGAGGAACGACTTGATGAGGTGGGGTATGATGATGTTGGTGGAGTTAGAAAGCAGATGGCACAGATCCGAGAGTTAGTCGAACTTCCTTTAAGGCACCCACAACTTTTCAAGTCCATTGGTGTAAAACCACCGAAAGGCATTTTGTTGTATGGACCTCCTGGCTCTGGTAAGACACTTATTGCCAGAGCAGTAGCAAATGAGACTGGAGCATTTTTCTTCTGCATCAATGGTCCTGAAATAATGTCAAAGTTAGCCGGAGAGAGTGAAAGCAATCTTAGGAAGGCCTTCGAAGAAGCTGAAAAGAACGCACCATCAATCATATTCATTGATGAGTTAGATTCCATTGCTCCCAAGAGGGAAAAGACCCATGGAGAAGTAGAAAGGCGTATCGTCTCACAACTCTTAACTTTGATGGATGGTCTGAAGGCACGCTCCCACGTGATTGTAATTGGCGCCACAAATCGACCAAACAGCATTGACCCAGCTCTTAGAAGGTTTGGGAGATTTGATAGGGAAATTGACATTGGGGTGCCAGATGAGGTTGGGCGCCTGGAAGTTCTCCGCATACACACAAAGAACATGAAACTAGCTGAAGACGTAAGACAGTTATGAGAATCCTTTTTCTTCTTTGTTATAATCTTCTGGATAGTCTATGGTTCATGATGGTGGTCAACACTCTACTGATATGCAGGTTGATTTGGAGAGAATTGCCAAGGACACCCATGGATATGTTGGGGCTGATCTGGCTGCGTTGTGCACCGAAGCTGCTCTACAGTGTATACGTGAGAAAATGGACGTCATTGACTTGGAGGATGAATCTATTGATGCTGAGATACTAAACTCTATGGCTGTCACAAATGAGCATTTCAAAACTGCTCTCGGAACCAGCAACCCCTCTGCACTCCGTGAAACTGTAAATGACATCCTTTCTTTCTCCCAGCATATGCACTGTAATCAATTCTGTTCGGTTGAAATATAATTTGTTACTCAATTCTTGAATTCTGTATGCAGGTTGTTGAAGTGCCAAACGTCAGCTGGGACGATATTGGTGGACTTGAAAATGTTAAGAGGGAGCTGCAGGAGGTATTTTTATGGAATGGTCCTGACACTTTTCTTCTGGTACTGTTGGATATATTAACTAATTGCTTGGTTATGGTTATCTTGTTTTTGGTAGACTGTTCAATATCCGGTTGAGCATCCTGAGAAGTTTGAAAAGTTTGGTATGTCACCTTCCAAGGGAGTCTTGTTCTATGGACCTCCTGGTTGTGGAAAGACATTGTTGGCAAAGGCAATAGCTAATGAATGCCAAGCAAACTTTATCAGTGTCAAGGGTCCAGAACTGCTCACCATGTGGTTCGGAGAAAGTGAAGCTAATGTACGAGAAATTTTTGATAAGGCTCGTCAATCTGCACCATGTGTACTCTTTTTCGATGAGCTTGACTCCATCGCAACTCAGGTTTGTCTCAATGTATATCTTGTTGCCGATCTTTTTTTACCATATTCCTTCTCTGACGATATTTTGATGTGCTGTTGTAGAGAGGGAGCAGTGTTGGGGATGCCGGAGGTGCTGCAGATAGGGTTCTCAATCAGCTCTTGACCGAGATGGATGGCATGACTGCTAAGAAAACTGTTTTCATAATTGGGGCAACAAACAGGCCTGACATTATTGATCCAGCGCTGCTAAGGCCCGGCCGTCTTGATCAGTTAATTTACATCCCTCTGCCGGATGAGGCGTCCCGGTGCCAAATTTTCAAGGCTTGTTTGAGGAAGTCCCCAATTGCAAAAGATGTGGATCTGATGGCTCTTGCAAAGTACACTCAAGGCTTCAGCGGTGCAGATATTACTGAAATCTGCCAACGGGCGTGTAAATACGCAATCAGAGAAAACATTGAGAAGGTGAGTTTATTCCTTTGGTTGCGTTGGATTTTGACATACAAGTCTTACCTTCTTCATCTTCTGCATTATCTTACCCTTCAAAGACCAAGACTTTGTCAATCCAAAATAAAAGTCCGGTCCCCCGTTAATTATGCCTTTTGATCCCCTTAGCTTGTTGTGATCCGTAAATATGCAGCCTTATAGCCTGTTATACTTTTTCTTTTTTCTCTAATTAGCCCTGCGTGGGTTCTTTATAAAGCTTTGTTGCTTGGTGTTGTTGCGTATCGAATACAGGACATAGAAAGGGAGAGGAGGAAGAGCGAGAACCCTGAAGCCATGGAAGAAGATGATGCTGATGAAGTCGCAGAGATTAAAGCCGTTCATTTTGAGGAGTCGATGAAGTTTGCTCGGCGCAGTGTCAGTGACGCAGATATTAGGAAATATCAGGCTTTCGCTCAGACCCTGCAGCAGTCCAGGGGATTCGGGACCGAGTTCCGCTTTACCGATCGGGCAGATGCCGGAGCTGGGGCCACTGGTTCCGACCCATTTGCCGCGTCGGGTGCTGCAGCCGACGACGACGATGATCTATATAGTTAGTTTGTGGACTGTGTGATCATAACTGTGCTACTGCTTCTTTTCTACTCGTCTGGATACATACCTACTATCTCTAGAGACAAAGACATTAAATCTGTTTCTGAAAGGACGTATTGATCACAACTTTTGGTGCAGGTGATCGTGCCATCTCGGGGCGGTAATGCCTGAGACGCAATTAAAAGATCTTTTCCTGAATGCTTACACGTCTGTCTAAAATGTCAGAGTCGTAGCTGCAAGTTAGTCGCCGTTGCAATGATGATTCATGTGCACTCTGATGAGCCGGCGGGACACGACGGTGGCACCGCACCTGCGGTGGGGGGGGGGACACACGTGGTCCTCGTTACCTTTGTCACTTCTTTCCTGAAGATCACGGGCTGTGCACGTGAGCGATCGCTCGTGATTGTACCTCCGCCTGCACGGTTGTCTCCCTTAATCGCTTCTCGCAATAATACATCGCATTTGTTTTCCCGCTTTAACGCATCCTCTACAGCGCTCCCAGCGGCTACTGTTACGCCATCATGGCCCGTCCTACCGTCCGACGACGGATGCGTGGAACCCCAACCGATGCCGTCAGGAGCATCGTACCCCGCCTTCAGATACATCGTTGCACGCATCCGGATGCATAATCCAAGTCGTTGCTGGTGCTTTCAAGGCCGGCTTTGGCATGGCCGAGAGGTGTTCGGTTTAATGCGTCTGAAGGCGGGTCAGGGGGGGTGGAAGGCGAACTGGCAGGTGGGAAAGCATTGATGAGGAGAAAGAATGCACAAACTTGTGCGCATCTTTTGCAGGAAATTGTCAGTTCATCTGGGCGGATCCGGCGCAGTGCCCACTGTCCACGAGGACGTTTGTTCTGCCCTCCTATGAGTGCGTGAGGTCGTCGTCGCCAGTCTTTTGCCATTAAGCGTTGTCCCTCATCTTTTTGCACCCTCTTTCATACTGCATGTTTCAATGTGATTTTTATGCCTCTGGAGAATTTTCTTTCTTTCTTTTTTTTGTTGTTGTTGTTGTTGTTGGAACTCTTTCTTTATGAACAAAAAGATCACAATCTTCGAAATGTATTGGAAGTGGTGGGAACTCTTCCTGTGAATTGTACGGTAACTTATTTTTTGAACTGATCATTTGTCTACGTAAATAAAGATAATATATATCAATCATTTTTTTAATTCGAATCTTTGATCATTTGTCTAAACCTATCGTATCGTAATATTTAAGTGAATTAGTAGTACCGCAAATGCTCAAATTGAGCATATATATATGGTTTCTTGTGGAAAAGGATATTACAACCCTCACTTGAGATAAATTAATTCAATCTTCATCTAAAACAGCAAGAAATGTATGAAATTTTAACAAACATTAATGCCATGTATGCAGTGGTTGATCCCAGCATCAAATTAAGCAATGCATTTGATTTGTGATCCTTCAAGTTAGTCATCAACAATGTAAATAGTGAGATGAGTCTGTATGCAACAGTCTCCTAAGGCTTCATGGTTGTGCCAAAGAGAACAGAAAGCAAGGGTGGTTCCTGTGATTGAAGAGAGAGTGTAGCTTGCATTTTAGAAGGCAATTAATCAATCCTCTGTGCTTCCATCTTCTTCAAATCCTTACTGCTATCAACTCACTTTACTTACTCTTCCATTACCATCACAAGCTTAAATTTCAGTTCTTGGTTATCTCATGCAGCTTATTCTTGTGCTAATTCTGCATTCGAAATACTTCAAAGATTGTAGTTCTCGTATGTATGTGTATATGTATATATACGTCGATTTGTTCTTGTGACAAATACAAGACTACATCGTCGCATCTATCGTAAGTGTAAATCTCATTGTCGAACTGGATAAATGTTGGGTCCTTGGTGCTGCATCTTGAGTTTAGTCTCTCAACTATTTCACCAAGCTTCTTCTAGGTTTGTTATACTTGTGAGACTTCAAACATCTCATCTGATGTTTTGTAGCAAAACACCTTCCTCCGTTCGGATCAATTATGACCTTTAATAATCGAAGTTCGGAGCTTTACAATACGGAAAATAACAATATCAAAACAAGTTATAGATCCTTCATTTTCTATTATTAAGTTCTACTAGGAGAAAAATCACTGGTCAAGCTAAAAGATCATCAAATTAGTTAAGACTCCTCCCTTTGGGATGCACAATTCAAGTTAAAAGACTGTTTTAAGAAAATGAATCTAAGAAGAAATATGGCAGAGAAGACAGGAAGAAACACAAATGTATGTTAATGCTCAGCATATAACTATTTGTCAAAGAGGACATTTCTAATTTGCATGAAAAGTATCAACTCATCACACTCTTGTTAGGTCTTCCTTCAGCTGGCTTTAATGAGAGAACCTGTTTATACATTTAGGGGACTTTGTGAATGTCTTGGAAGCTTCAGTTCAATCTGACATGTTGGCACAGTTTTGCATATAGTCTATTTGGATAAGAACATGATGTACATGTTTTGTATCTTTCTTGTGGAATTGTGTAGGGAAGTCTGCAAGTGTTTGGCTCCTAAACTTACATGTTGTTGTATGTGCATAGATGGAGAGGAGCTGAAGCATAATTTCCAGACAGTTCTCTGCATTATGTCCTTAAAGATTGGTCCACTTTGCAAGCAACAACTAGCAACATGTACCTTCTGCTTGGTCCATCTGCATGGGTGATTGATGACAGAGTTATGGCTAACATAATTCCTCTCCTTCACTCCTCTCAGATGACAAGCTTTTTGAACCACAATCATCAAAAAAACACAAAAAAAATCTACCTCCCTCTTGAATCTATCTGTTCACTTAGCTTTTCTTACATGTTTCATACACTAAATTTTGAGTTTGGATCCAAGGATTTTCTGACTGCAGCATTTATTCTATCACAGCTTAAAATACTCAATGATTTTTGTGCAATTTAATCTAAATTCTGAGAAGAAAGATACTGAAATACCATTCATAAGATATCATAGTATTGATTTAATTCCCAAACCAGAATATCACAATGAGGAACATATTAGTGGTGCATCTCAGCTATGAAAAAACACACAGAAAAAAAAATATAATGAAAGAGAAATGCAATAAAAAGTACAAAGGAAGTCAAAGGAAACCATCTATTTATGTGATTTTAACCATAAGCATGGCAAGAATTTTGCAATAATCATTTGCTCCTCAAATTGTACCAAAAGACTTCAAGGAAAGAAGTACTACTACTACTACTACTACTATTCATCACAAAGCAAAGCAAGAGAGAGTATAGCACAACACACATGTTTGACAATCTGACTTGTAAGCATCCTTATCAAGAATAGAGAGAAGGTTAGAGATTACATTGTTCATCCAGAAGGATAACCAAACTGTAGATCATGGGATCTATCAATTAAACTAGAGCTGAAAACTCAGTAGTTTTTCGCCTTTTTCCGATACTTCAAGCTACTCCAAAAAAGTAGCTAAGGTGCCAAGTTTTTGTTTGGATCATATCAAGTAGGCAGGATGATGATATCTCCATATCTGAACCTATTTTTGGTGTATTTTGGGGAAAGAAAAAGCAAATCACACTATCATCTTTGAGAATGTTCATAGTGAAACAAAGTTGTTCATGATGGTATCATATATCCTGCTTCTCTAATTTATTTCATGCATCAATAGCTTCCTCTATATAGGCAGATGAAACACAAAGAGAATGATATCATCATAAATAAAGCAGGTGAAAATTCACATAAGCAATATATAAATCCAAGCAATTAATGCATGCTCATAAGCTTATAGAAAGAAAGGAGAAATTACCTGATCAAATCATCAGTTGCTCGCAATCATACTCTCACAAAGAGAATACAATAGTAGTACCGAAGCTCGGAGAATCTGCTGCTCTCTGCGAATCCTTTGCAAAGGAAAAGGAGTCATTACCTTCTAAAAAGCACAATAGTTTGATATCACTTGTTTGAATCTCTACTTCTGCGCACATAACCTAAGAGCAGAAGGCATCTCCGAAATCAACTCCTAGGCTTAGGGATCGAACACACCGCGGCAAAAAGATCTTACCGCGACGACGATGACAGGAGCTAATGGTGGTGGTGGTATGTTTAGTCGCTTGTTTGCTGATGCAGCATCATCAAGATTCTCATGGAGGAGGACGGGGATCGGGTCCTTGTGAATCTTGATGATGCCACAGCCGCAAACACCGGCTGCTGCTGCTACGGAATCCCATGCATGTCCGGCCCGTGGAGGAGAAAGAGGATTTCGTGGAGATGAGAGGAGGAAACGGAGAACAAGAAAGGCACTGCAGCAAGTACTGCTGGGATCGATCCACGAGGAGCGGAAACCGATGCCGCCGGTGGCCGAAGCCTCGGAAGGGCGGTGGATTTGAGGACCAACAAGAGGAATCTTGCAGCGTTGGAGTTGTATCGATCGAGGCAAGACCAACAGAATCAAGAGGCAGAAAGCAAGAAGCAAATCCTAGAGTGAGTAGTACTCCCTCGTGTTCTCTCGTGCACCTGATCGTTTCCCTCCCCAAAAGAAGGGCCCAAAACAAGGAACGGGTTACACTGACAAAGATCATCCCATGTTCAGCTCATCAGAAGAAGAGCAAGGAGGAGGAGGAGGAGGAGGAGCACTGTGCGACACTGATGCGCAGACACCTCGTTGACAGCCCAATCGAGATTGGACACGTCTCGACCTTTCAGACCATGGCTTAGGATCTCAAAAGATAGAAAGAGAATGGCATCTGCCGAAGTGGTGAAAAGAGAGAGAGGGAGAGAGAGAGTCAGCAGTGAGAAGGATAGAGAGGGATAGAGGAGAGGAGAGTACTGTGGGACTGAAAGGAGAGGCTGTAATAAGACTCTTATGTGTGTCTATATATATATATATATATATATATATATATATATATATATATATATATATATAGCATTGAGTATTGGTCCTCTAACCCTAATTCCTTCCTTGAGTCACATTTGACCTTAAAAAAAAAATATTTTTTGAGGTTTTTAATCCATGCAAATTGAAATACTACTACTTGTATGATAGAATTTTGCCGGCAGCTAAATTGGATGCTCATTAATCAATATTTTGATCGAGAGACTAGTAAATTTTAAGTTTTTTCTATATTTTAACCGATTCGATCGATAAAGATCTTACGATACTGTGTTACAGTGGTTTACTAGTATTGCTTAAAATATAGTAATATAATAAAAAAATACTATATAGGGTGAATCGATCTATTTACAATATTTTTGTCAACGCCACAAAAATATTATAACATAATACAAAAATATCATGTTATAATATTTCTTTGATATTATTGAAAACACTTAATATAATATAAAATATTATAATCAGACTAGTTCACCTTATAGGCGGTTCCATACG